CTAGAAAACCAAGAAGCAACATACCGTCTCACGGTCATCTACAGAAGCAGAGTACAGGTCTCTGGCTACTGCGACATGTGAATTGAAATGGTTGAAGAGTGTCCTTCGTGATCTTGGGGTGGAACATCCCAGACCTATGAAATTGCATTGTGATAGTCGTGCCGCTATGTATATTGTGGCTAATCTAGTGTTTCATGAGCGCACCAAACATATAGAGGTTGATTGTCACTTTGTTCGTAATGCCTTGCATGCCCGCACTATTGAGACTACTCATGTATGGACTTATAATCAGTTGGCGAATATTTTGACCAAGGCACTTGGGCGACGACAGTTCGATTTTCATCTTCGCAAGTTGGGCATACGTGACCTACATGCTCCAACTTGAGGGGGAGTAATGGAGATATTGTAGATACTGTATATATTTAGAAAGATATTATTTAGGAAGTTGTTAATATTGTATTTAGGAAGTTGCTAATATTGTATTTAGGAAGTTGCTAATATTGTATTTAGGAAGTTGTTAATATTGTATTTAGGAAGTTGCTAATATTGTGGATAGAGTTTTAGGAAGGTACGGTTTTAGGAAGTTGCTAATTTCTAGAGTTGCTAATTTGATCATGATGTAATTGTATATATATGGGGCGATTGTCTCCATTGAAAGACAAGACAGAATAGCCATTCCTTTGAATTTCGATCCATACAGTTATTCTTTACTCTCTCTCTCTCACTCTCTCTCTCTCTTTGCAATACATACTCGTTTAAGAAAAAATTTAGTCTTGGGGTTTTAAGTTGTATTTTAGAAATAGATTCTCTACAATTCCTACTTTTAAATTTGTTATTTTTCACTCCATCATGAATTTGTTCCTATGTTGCACTCGACGGACAGCATCCTTTGTAAATGTAGTGGGTTCGTTAATAATCCTCATCATGTTAAACCCAATAATCGGAATTGCATTCTGTGCACCGGACGAGTGCATCTGTGAATGAGAGGCGAACACGTGTTAACCATGAATTAACGGAAGTTTTCTCCGTTATTAATAATTTGGCTGGTTAAACCCAACTCTCCTCCAGTTGAACCGGCCATAAAGGGATTTAATTCGAACTCCCTCAGTCCCTCCCATTTCCTCCACTTCTCCGCTTCTCCTAGTCCCACTCCTAACCCATAAAATCATCCCATCAGCCACTCACATACACCGGTGGCGGCAAGAATTTCGACGGTAAATATAGAAAAGTTCTCTCCAGTCTCCCAACGACTCTTATTTCTTCTTCTTCCTCTCCTTCCCATGTTCTTCTTTCTTCTTCTTCTTTCGAGAACCATTACTCCTCACACCGGCAGTCATTAGTCATCAGAACAAAGCTAATCTCCCCAAGCCCTAACCCCTGCTTCAGTAGATTAAACACCCCAAGCCCTAACCCCTGCTTCAGTAGATTAAACACCCCAAGCCCTAACCCCTATTTCATCAGTCGTTGTTTTTCATTCAAAACCGAGAAACAACGGTGGGATGTGGGATGTGAGATGTTTCTGGTCGATGTGTCCTACCTGTTCGTCCTTCAGATCGGACCTACCACCGAAGAAGAAGAAGAAGAAGAAGAAGAAGAAGAAGAAGAAGAAGAAGAAGAAGAAGAAGAAGAGAAGAATAATAAAGAGTTGAAGAAGAAGAAGAGAAGGAAATGTTGTCGCCATCGGAGTTTTATTGTCGTTGATTCATTGCCGAAGCTCTGTCATCGCTGATGGACAAGGGTTACTCTGCTGTATGGGTAGGGTTCGGTGGAACCAGTTCGTTTCCGCGTGAACCGGACCAGACCACGTTAACGCTCAAATGCGCGTTAACGTTGGCCTGGTCGACGTGTCAATCAGCCATTCGCAGGTACACTTGTCCAGTGCACCCACAGGTGCACAGAATGCGAGCTCAATAATCATATTAGCATCCTTTCTGGCCTGTTTCTGCAAATCGCTGAAGTAGTTTAAAATATTCTGAGAAATTGGGATAAAAATATTCTTCTGAGAAGATGTTAAGATAGGGTATTTTAGGAATTTTCAAAAAATATATCAATAATCATGTGACGTCACATGTGAACGTAACGGAATGTTAATGATGAGGGAGGTTTTAGACAATTGTTAGAAAAACTTAAGGCTTTTTAAGACAATATGTAAATAGTAAGGGTAGAGTTGAGTCAATTAGCTAAACCATAAGGGTAGTTTAAGAAAATTTCCCTAAATTGTATTGCACACAAAATTAGCTAGGGTTCCCCTTGATTGTTTATCTTCCTTTTTAGTTAATAAAAGTCTTACCATTTCTTGGAGCAAAAAAAGGGGGGGGGAATAGAATGGACTGAATAGTAGCATTTAAACTACAATTTCTGCCTTCTCAATAGAAAGAAACCAATTTCAAAATGAGAGGTATTTTAGTTAATAAAAAGTCCAAAAGCCATGGGGAGTTATTTCCACTTTAATAATGCATCAAAGACGAAACATCCTATAACGATGATGCATCATCAAATTATTCAACTAAAAAAATCATGTTTATCATCAATTGATATAATGATGTTAAATCATCATCACTTTTAGATGCATCTATTCTACTACTAAAAGTTTGAATTGTGAAATTTTAGGCTTTCTCTTGACTAAAATACCCTATTTTTGAATTTGGCCTCTTTCTATTATCAAGGCAGGAAAACTAATTTTTATTGTTACTTAATTTTTTATTTATCTTATTTCCTCTCATTGAAACCTATATTTAAGGTATTAACTCTCAACCTCTTTCATTGAATTCAATTTTTTGTTTCTTACTATTGAATTCTACTAATTTTCAATGAAAAAAATTACTAATTAAATCCATATCCTATGAATTTATTGGATTATATATTCATAATATTATTTTTTATATGTTTCTAAATTATTGATCATCATGAATTTAATTAAGAAACAAATTAAAGATACCTTAAATATATAATTTAATAAGAGAGAATGGGAGTTAATACCTTGATTGTGAGAATGAAATAGAATAGAATGAATTCACTCATTCAAATTACAATTTCTGCCTTCTTGAGAGAGAGAAAGAGAGCAATGGGTATTTTGGTAAAAAAATCCAAAAAACCATTAAGAGCTATTCCCACTTTCCCATTTTGATAAAAAAAATCCAAAAAACCATTAAGAGCTTACCATCAATGTATATAAACACCAAGTCTATCAATCACAATAGCTACAACAATTAATTAATATGGAAAACGAAAGAAAACTTCGACTCAGTGACGCCTATGGCTTGCCGTAAACTTGGCGAGTCAAGCTCACCTAACCTGACATGTGATCAAGGCTGTCCTGAAGCCAATTTAATACTAAGGCCAGGTCAAGGTCGGTTTACTGTATAATCCAACCCATTAACATCCCTACCTGTAATAGGTTTTGAAATTTTGTGATGTTGCCAGACTTTTGGTGACATTGTCTTCTACCTCTGTCTCTCTTAGAGTAAAACTTGAATTTATAACTAAGCTTGTAATAAAACTAATCTTCATGAATAAGCAAGACAATTTACAAAGAAATATGCAGTAAACTTTTATTATTAATGTGAAAGGGATCAAATGGATGGTTAGATCTTGTAAATGTCTCCTATTCCATCTACTCTGCAGGCTTTGTAGCCAACATTGATCGAATTAGTAGCTTTTCGACAATTCTAATACTACCTGAAACACGGCTGAATCGATTCAATCTACCAGTTATAGTCTGCTTGGTGCCATATGAAATCACATGACACCATGCATTCTGGTTTCTTTTCTTTTATATATTATGAATTGGAAATGAGATTTACTTATCGGAAATGTAATCAGTTGTCCATAAAAATATTAGGAATGTCATCATTTTCAGAATTCCGATGGGCGAAATGAGTTGATCTCCATCTACTTAATTAATTAACAGCTGAAATGAGTTAATCAGCCAATAAATTTCAATTGACAGATGGACAGAGGGTGAGCTCGCACTAAACCAAAGCTGTGATGCCTACTACAACACACAAAACATCCAGGCGTCCAATCCCCAACGTCCCCAGCTGCGAAAAGAAACATTTGATTGCTTCACTTACAAGAATCATTTCGGCCTCGTTTGGCGTGTCTTTTAGCGTGGTGTTTTGGCTATTTATAAGTTGAGAAGACCAAAAGTAGGTCTATTCCCATTTAGCATACAGAAGATCTTATCGTCAAAAAGATGTGGAAAGTGCATTGTGGGCTGATTTTGTGCGGAGAAACCCAATGATCTTATGTCAAAAACTCAATACATCATCTATTGACTATTATAATTATGGGAAGATCTTCTCAAAAAAAACTTACCAAACGGACCCTTCATATTTATGTAAATGAAATATTTAAAGAACCAGAGCCATGTTCTCTGTTCCCAACTCCGTTTAACAAATAAAAAAATTTGACGAGGGAGTCAGAAACATGAGACCAGATCTGGGTAGAAGAAGGCAGAAGCCCAACTATCGTAACTACAAACAAAAATTTGCTTAAATTTTTTTTTTTTTTTTTTCTTTTTGAAGCAATAACATAACAGGCAAACGAACTTGATTTGGAATTGTTTTAAATTCTGGGATTTTAGTATTTGACAAATCTTGCAGAGGCAGATGAATATTATTTATCGTCATGTTGCGGCACAGCTTCATGGTCAATTGGGATATTAAAAGCATCTGCTGCTCAAGTCTGGAGGTCTATCTCACTCAGTCAACTCCATTTGTGGACCCTCGTTAATTCGCAGAAATGAGAAAGTCCGCACAAGTGAATGAAGTGAGAGTGTGTTCGATCAGGGCTGGCAACTGCAACCATTCATAGACAAGAAAGTTAAAAACCAGGCTGTCCATATGTAGTTGACTGCATCACGACTTGTTCAGTGGCTATTATTAACTCTACAAAACCCGTGAAAGAGTCAAACCGGTTCCCCCATCAAAACGTGGCTCAAGCTGGGTAGATTAGAACTAATGATCGGTGGTTGCCGTCTTGCCGACCCAAGGCCAAGGCCAAGGGTCCCCTAGCTAACCCGCCCCTTCTGTCCTTTTCCCATCTCTCTCTCCCTCTCTCGTCCATTTTCCTAACAACCACCTCCCAACCATCTACTCACCACACTCTTTGAATGCTAGCTAGCTCTCTTCCTCTTTTCCCCCTTTAAATACACACGCACACATCTACCCTTTTACCTCTAGAACACTGACAGACATCTCTCGGCTCTTGCTCTCTCTGAAACACAGAGAAGAGACAGAGATACACACACATGGCACCAGTAGCTTCATTCCCTGATTATGATACTTTCAAGACCGTGTGTGTCATGGACGCTTCAGGCCGTCTGGGTTCCAGCCTTGTGGATCGTCTCTTGCAAGGGGGCTATACCGTTCACGCTGCCGTCCAGAACCATGGTTAGTCTTCATCCCCATCTTCCTTCTTTCCTTCTTTCTTTCTTTCTTTCTTTCTTTCTTTTTCTCATCTTGTTTGTTTTTTTTTGTATTGTTTTATTTTAGGTGATTTGCAGGCGTTCAAAGGAATTTCTTCTGATAACGACAAGAATCTGAAGGTGTTCCACGCGGATCCATTCGACTACCAGAGCATCATGGACGCCTTGAAGGGCTGTTCAGGCTTGTTCTACACCTTCGAGCCTCCCCAGGACCAATCCACCTTCGATGTACGTCTCGCATTAACCCCTGTTCCTATTCATTTACAACACTACTCAGTACTCATTCTTCATTTATCCATTCACTGTTGACACAGTGACTCCTGCTTCGTCAATTATGAATTTATGATTCACGGAGAGATTCAAGGAGAGGATTTATTTGGCATTACAAAGTTCATTACAACTAGCATGGACTATGGACTATGGAATTGGGAATCCTGTTGTGTTAAATGTAAATTTGTGAGGAATTGGGAATCCTGTTGTGTGAGGAGCAGATCCGGTGTCGGGAGGGAGACGCTATGTATGAGTCTGCCATATACGTTAATTGCCAGCTGGCATAGTCCAGCCAGCTTATCATGTTCTAATAGTTAACCTCCAGTGGCCTTAATTAACGCGTCGTTGTTTCTTGGGGTTTGTTGCAGGAATTTATGGCGGAGGTGGAAGTGAGAGCGGCGCACAACGTGTTGGAAGCGTGCGCACAGACGGATACGATAGACAAGGTTGTATTCACGTCGTCTGTGACGGCCGTTATCTGGAGAGAAGATCGCAAGTCATCTTCAGATTTCGATGAACGGAACTGGAGCGACGTCAATTTCTGCCGGAAGTTCAAGGTACACATCGTCGGACCGACCATACTCGTTCCAACTTCCAAGTCCAATGGTAAAGGGTATTCTAGTAATTAAATCGAATTGACGAGTTCCGTTTGGTTGGTTGCATGACATGCAGTTATGGCATGCACTGTCGAAGACGATGGCGGAGAAGACAGCATGGGCCCTGGCGATGGACAGAGGACTGAACATGGTGTCCATAAACGCGGGGCTATTGATGGGCCCAGAACTATCGATCACCAATCCCTACTTGAAAGGAGCGGCTGAGATGTATGAAGATGGAGTATTCGTGACCGTTGATCTGAGGTTCTTGGTGGACGCCCACATCTGCGCCTATGAGGACATCTCCACCTACGGGCGTTATCTGTGCTTCAACCATGTTATCAACCGCCCAGAAGACGCCTTAAAGCTGGCCCAGATGCTGACGCCGTCCACGGCCTCCGCCCTACCTCCAAGGTACAGTGGGTTTTTTTATTGAGGGGTAATTATGTCTTTTAACATAAAGAAAAAGATGAAACCCCCAAAAAAATTTAGATAATCAAAGTTAGTTGGATCCGTCTGGCATTAATACGATTAATCAAGTTCGAGCACTAGTGTGTATTTGTGGGACCCATCTGATTAATTGATTGATGTTGTTGATGTTACAATCAACGTTGGTGTGGTGTGGTGTGGCTGGCACGTGTACAGCTGGGAGGATACGAGAATATTGGAGCAAAGGATCAGCAACAAGAAGTTGAGCAAGCTGATGGTGGATTTCGAGAGTGGAATCCAAGTGGAATGAATGTCAAAGAGGTGAATATGATGATAGCGCGGCAAGTCCGAAATCAAATCAACGGCTTGGAAGCGTATACGTCACCAAGTAGTTCCCAACAGAAACAAGCTTTGTAACATCCTATTATTAATATTTTTTATATTTTCAATAAATAAATCGATCGTGAACATTACCATGTATGTAACATGTTTATGACGAGCTAAGTGTAATGTATTGGCAAAAGCCCTCTTCTATTAATATGTATACATGTGGCACCGATAAGATTTCAACACGTGGCATGATTCAAGGGAAGAATTCACCACTAGAACAAAAAAAAGGACCGGATCCAGTAATCACAACAGAGTAATTAAGCATATCAAATGAACATTTGATAAATATTTTGACAACTCTCAAAAAGTGAGTATTAATCTTTTTCAATGATATGCGGGGGTATTTTAAGGGACAAGTATTGTTTTCAAAATTGGATCGGATTGGACGGTCGGACCAGAAAAACCGGGAACCGGTTAGGTCAGGTGACCGGTTCTGGTTTTCCTCAAAATTGGATTTTCCATAAAAATAGTTGATTTTGGTTAGTAAACTGTTGGTTCGGGCGGTTAATCGTTCGAACTATTTGAACGGTTTTGATCGGTTTTCATTTTTTAATTTTTTTTAGTTTTTTGTTAGAACGGGCTGATCATTCAATTCGAATGGTTGGACCGTTCGACCTAATAACCAGACTCCTAACCGATTCGATCTCCGGATCGATTTTAAAAATCATGATAACAAGTGTCAAACAAATTTTTTAAATACTCATTTAACTACTTACAACGTCGTGCCTACAGAACGGAAAAAAAAACAGGGACTATGAACTTCTGAAGTTTGCATAAGAGATAAAATAAAAATGACAAAAAACTGTCTGATTATACACAACTCTCCTAGTTTGGACAATGAAGGTGGATAGTTTTAGCCAATTTTATTTGTAATAACGGTTTCAGGGCCATGACCAAATCAACTAGCTAGGGGCGTAGGTCATGGTTTAACCAATTTAACTAAATATTTCTGTTATCTAAATATGTGTTTGGTTCTGTGACCATTTATTAAATAAATGTTTGTACTTGATTTGGCATCAAAACTGAGAAAAGTGGTTGATAAACCATTTATTAAGAACTAAGCATCATTAGGTGCCACATCTGTGGAACAGTAAATAAACGTTTTACCGTTGGGGGAAGCATTAAAATGAAGTTTCTCCCAATGGTTAGTGTGCACATAAATCAAAACCAACTTTTATCAATGCCGATGCATACGAATTGGTATAATGAGATAAATGCTGGCATGGTGATGACATAGCACCGTTTACCAAAACACCTCTCATGAAACACCCACAGAACCAAACATACGCTAAGTGGGAGTTTGGCATCGATGTCGTTTTCTAATAAAACGATGCCACGTAGGCACCACATCAGAAAAAGCGGTGCTTTAGAAAATGGCCTCTTATTTGGTATTGTTTTTTAGAAAAAAAAAACATTGTTTCAGACCACACTTTGGAAATCGAGAAAGTGTGATCTAAATCAATGCCAAATTCGATGTTTTCTCAAAAAACAGCTTGTTGCTACTAATGGTGCAATGATGTAGCATCATCTTGGATGTTGGATAATATGACCAATGCTAAAAATGGTCATACAACACTAGTACCAAACAAAACCAATGCTATTTTCCTAGAAAACAGCCTATGTGGCAGCACCACTTCCAAACAAAAAATAAGCATCGTTTTCTCACACATGCCCAACACTGTTTTTATGAGACCGATGCCAAACACCTAGTAAATAAACAGTGGGATAGGGACAGAGGTTAATCTATGCACATGGGCCAGGGATTAGCCACCTGATCAATTACGAGAAACTTTTTCTTTTTCTTTTTTTTTTTGGTGAAGAATAATGAGAAGACTGGATTTCATTCTCAATGGAGGGGGAGGGAATGGCCATTCACTCAAAACCATTCCACCAGGAATGTATATGGGTTCTGGTTCTGCCCAACCAAACAGTTAGAATTGAAATCTAATTCCAGACCCCTATTCCCACGAACAAAACGGGCCCTAAGATTCAAGGACTTGTGGTTCAAAGCTGAAAGGGATCAGGCATGACTCAACCAGTAGCACTTACGGTTGCATTTCAACTTTCAAGGCTGCAATTCTGAAAATTAAGATTCAAAAACTACTTTCTTCCCCTTAAGATATCTCTTTAAACATGCATGCATGCAGCATGCTTGAGTGTAGAGCCTCCTCCAAAGCCTTTGGAATCCTAAATACTGGAGATAACTGTGGCATACTCAGTTTTAACAGGGGAAAGGAATAAGTGATCATCTCAATTTTACTCTTTGTGTAATGGTAAAATCTCTGGCTTACAAGCATGAAAAAACATGGATTTGAATCGGGAAGTAGTCGCTTTATGCAAAAGATGCCAAACGTTGGGATCAAAATTCAGGAGGGAGGATGTTTCTGAAACTAGGTATTTTACAAATTCTACTAAAATTGATTCTTAATTAGAAACAGTAAAAGGATTGATGAAGAAAACCCAACTTAAATTCATAAGCCACATATGGCAAAGATGTCAAAAATAGATGGAAGAGAGGCGATGCCATTGTTAATTGAGACTGCATTAATTTTTGTCCTTGACCAGCTTCAACAACCGGACATGGTTGTCCCCAAAACAATTTTTAAGAGTTAATAGTCCATGACAGTATTGTGTAATATATAGGTAATATGGTGACAGGCATGAGCTTACTGCACAATATTGTGTAATAGTAGTCCATGACAATATTGTGTAATAATAGTTAATAGAGTTTACTGCACCTAATTGTTAAATATATCCTTATCAATAATTTTCCCTAGAATTTAGTAAGGGAGATGGAGATGTGATAGAAGCTTGGGCTATGTTTGGTTTGAAGGAAAAAGTAGGGAAAGATAAGGAAACCTTTATAAAAGAAATTTCCCTAGAATTTAGTAGGGGAGATGGAAATGTGAATATGTGACAGAAGCTTAGGCTATGTTTGGTTTGAAGGTAAGAGAACATAGCCTTGGGTTTTGGGGGAGAGAAAGAGAGTAGTTAAAGAATTAATATGATAGAGCGTAGAGGTGGAGAGGTTGATGGAGATGGACCAAACTCCACTAATCCAAGTGGTGAAAAGAGGAATACATGTAAGTGGACAAATTTGCTAAGCTAACTATTGTCTCATTTGACCCGCATGAGAGATCGACCCAGCAACACATCATGATCCTGTGATAAAAGGACAGATGGCAAGTTATGGCCTTATGGGCACTGTAGGCATATACACGGAACCGTACTTACACTGAAAATTATTAACTTGTTCTTCAAACAGGTTCAAATACCACCAAGGTTTTTAAAACCCGACTGGACATGGAACTATGACTGATTTTTGGGTTGAATGGTTCAATCATTTGGTTCGAATCGATGGCCCGTTCTGATTTAAAAAAATAAAACAATGAAAGCGATTAACAATTGTTGTCTGGGTTGACGGTTCGACCACCTAGGTCATTGAATCGCTGATCAAATCAATTGTTTTTAACGAAAAAACAGTTTTAGGGTGAAATGAAATTGGTTACTTGACCAGTTCCCGGATTTTCTGATCCAGTTTTGAAAACCATGTATACCACTGATTTATGGTTAGAAGTTAAAACAACAAAACAGATCTTAATTAAGTGCTTTTTGCCATTTGACAAAACCTTCCAACTAATGAGACCTCCATCGTCAATCATTAAAGAAGAAAGACGGATCCACCCCACCACTCTTTAAGGCTTCAAGCAAGTGTACCTCCAATTGACCAGATTATTAGTCTAAAGGCTTCGCCATCAGTTTAAGTGAACTTGGTCAATAGCTATTTATTTAAGAGAACAACTAAGGTATCTAGAGGCGTTTTTAAATAAATAGCAAATGCATCATCACATTGACCATATTATGGTTCATGAATGTATTAATGAGGTTTGGTATTGAAGATAAGTATACATAGGTACGAGGGTACTTTTATTAGTAGGATCCAGGCAAGTTCTGAAGATATTTCTATTCTGCCAGTTTTTGGGTTCAGAACAAGTTGATAGATTTTCAATACGGAGGTATAGATGATGCAGAGACTCATCCGGGGATTCTCACTTGTTCTCTCTTGCATTTAAGCATCAATTATCTTGTATGGTTAACAATCCCTCTCAATGCACAGTGATACCTAACTTCGCCCATTTAAGCCAGTTCTTTAAAACCGGCCTGGATGTTGAACCGCTTTTCCTTTCGAGATCAATGGATCAGCTGTTCAACCTTCTGGGTCAATGAGTAAACCCTTGATGCCATTGTTACAGAAATTTTCAAAAACAAAAACAAAAATATTTCATACAAGAAAACTGATGATCCGGTAAATGGGTCAGATGGGTCAATGATTCAGCTGTCTAGGTTAATAGGCCATTGATCGAATCAATGTTTTTTTTTAGCATAGACTGTATAGTGGGTTAAAGGTTGACCCAAACTGGAATTGTGACCTGAACATGGTCCGACCAGCTGGGTCAACAACAGGTTGAAAGAATTGATTTAAACTGCTTGAGTTCTAAGAATTCAAAAAAAAAAAAAAAAAAAAAAACCATGTTCTAGAACCACAAGTCTCGAACTGAATTAGATGATCTGGTGTTTGAACACACATTATATGTTATGCATAATGGATAATGTAAATGCCGAGAGAACCGGTTGAATCCTTGGTTTAAAATAGATATGTACATCACTGCCTTACGCCTTGCCTCTCCAAGACCCAAAGGTTCCAAACCCAACTGTCTCGCCTCTGCATTCAGTCTTTTAGGTAATACCTCAACCCTGATGATCAAGCAAGCACCTCGGTTCTTAATAAGGCAGTTAATGGTAATAATAATACTACTCTGTTCTTTTGTTATATACAACAGAAATGCAGAAAATTTTTAAAACATTGCCTTTTAAGTTTTAATCATCGATCCTCACTTTCTGGCATCCCAAAGAATACAACCGAAAGATGGATTGATTCAACATAAGACTGTCTTTTTCCCTCCAGTTCTCCTGTACTCGATAAATTCATTTTATGAACCGTTGAGAAGCACACTGTCTGCTTGCCTGCAGTACTGGGGTTTTAAGACTCTAATAAGTCCAACTTGATGGCAAAGACACCTCAAATGCAGCTCCTGGGTCCTGAATGACCAGCAAGTCGTCATCAATTCAATCGTCTCAGATTCTATAATGCCCCATGTGAGTTGGTCAGAGAAGATAATTTAGACACGGCTCAAAAATATCCCAACTGTCCACTTAATAGCATTAATATTGGATTGTTCCCAGGTAAAAGATCACGATAGGTGTATCCAACACTCTCAGTACTGTTATAAATTCCCAACTTTGTTTAGAATCATCATGAAGGATTCAAAATATGGGATCATCCAAAAAGCTCATTTTGAAAAGGGCAAATGATTCACACATCCATAAATAACCCCGTACAAATCTTAGTGCTGCAACAACAAAAAACTCTTGGGTCTTTCTTCAAATCAACAGAGATACCTGTGACTGAGTGACTTTCATCCACGATCCACCACCATCCACAGCTCCTATCGAAGCTGTGGTACTCCCATATCCAACTACACAGTGTCACAGGTGAAAACATCCACCAGTTATAAGATAGAACAAGAATAGAAGACAGGAAAACAAGCTTGTGAAAAATTACTATCATTTCCTATGGAGTCTTAGATATTGACAAAATTAACTAATCCACTGAGTCCATTAGTTACAATAAAAAATTCACCTCAAAATTCATCTGTCATAATAATATATACAATGGTACTGCCAAATTATAAAACTGTATTTAAACACAGATTTCTTTTTTTCTTTTCTTTTTTGCTCATTTTGGTCTTTTTGAAGTGGTGGTGGCTCCTTTTATATCTATTAATGCCATGTAGTAATTTTTTAACTGTGCTGCAGAGGTTTCTTTACCTTTTTCCATTCCTTTACTTCAGGCACTAAGTGACATAGAGATGATTGATGAAAGCTTGAATTTCTGAACTTTATTAGAATTCTGGGGCTGAAACAGAACCTCAGTACTATGTCTCACTGTTACTTCCTTCCATTCAGACACTGAAGCACCCTCATTTCGATAATCACGAGGAGAGTATAGGACTTGGAGTTTTGAACGGCCTGCATTAGGTAGAAATTAATCAGAAATGCCAACAATTCATCGAGTCTAACTGCACAAAGTGAATGAAGTATCTGTGGTTGAGTGACACAGTATAACATGGAATCACTGATTTGTGGAGGTTTGAATACTTGTTTGTTTATTTCATCCCACTAATGGGACTGTTTGACTTTCTACTTATTATGGTGTTGGTGCTAAGTCATTAATATAATCTCTTTGACCTTGCTATAGATCATGAAAAAAAAGGTTTACTTTTAGCCTAACATAAATTCAGAATAATTGTTAATTTCTCCATATTCTGCAAACCTTGAATAGGTTTCCCTACTTTTCCCTTCCTTTCCCTACCTTTTCCTTCAAACAAAATACAGCTTAGAAGTGGTGATACAATAACTTCCTAATCACTAATTTTGAATCCTCCAAAAAACATTATGGATCTCTGCTGCTTTTCATAAACTGTTAAGATGTCACCATGTACGGTAAAAAGGAAAAGAAAAGAAAGTGTCTTGCTGAGAAAATTCCTTAAAATACCTAAAGAATCCTTTTGAGTATGTTTGGTAAGAATGAAAAATGCTGTTGCAATATACCTTTGATCCAATCCTGCAAAACTCCCTCATTTCTAAATAAATTGAAGATGTTAGAATTTCACCAAATCATATACATTCTACAAGCTGAACTTGCATGCAAAAACCAAGTTTCCCTGGACTTCCCTTCTATACATTCATTAACAAGTATACTCCATCCATGACTTCTCTTTGTTTGATAAATCTTCATTGTTGATAAGATATTACATCATTTAACACTGCTTCTAGATGGATGATGAGCACCTGTTGTATACTGCAAACGGTCACAAGGCACCTCGCACATTGGTGGCCTCCTTTTTTTATTGGCAGCACAATGAAAAAAAAAAGCTTTACAAAAGGAAGAAGAGAAAAGAAGTAGGGAAGAGGGAGAATAGAACCCAACATACAAAAAACATACTACTTGTATTAATTCTAGGAGCCATCCCTTCTTTCAAATATGAATCCAATTGAGGAAGCTGGCTTTGTGGAAAACAAGATACCTCTCAAAAGGAGGGAAGTTGACTCCAATTAAAAGTTTGCTGTCATTCTACCAACATACTTGCTTTCTCTATTCCCAATTCCAGATGCAGTAGCGAGAACACTTGAAAAGAGGATGAGAGAATTCTTGTGGAAGGGATGGATGGGTGAGTCCAAAATCCACTAATCAAGTGGAGTGAGGTTTGCAGTCCAAGGAAATCTGGTGGTCTAGGAGTGACAAAGCTAAGAAAGTTTAATATGGCTCAAGGTTCAAAATTTCAATACGATATGCCCCGTATCGGTAGCTCCCTGAAACCCCAATTCAGGGGGTAGGCAAGCCTAAAACCGACCCCCTGAAACAATTTTGAAAAAAAAAATAAAAAAAAAAGTTATGATGTATCGAAACACCCGATACACCTGTTCATGCGTATTGGGCATATTGATACTTTAAACCATGACATGGCTTGTTTTGGCAAGTGGTTCTGGAAGTGGGATGAGCAAACTAACAGCTTGTGGAGAAGAGTTATTTTGGCAAAAGTATGGTTCTAGCAATTTCAGCTGAGATCCAGGTGAATCCAACATCTCCTATGGGTGTTCAGTGAGGAAAAACATTCAGAAATCAGCTCCATATTTTAAAAAGGGAATTAAGTTTGAAATTGGAGACAACTCAAAGGTGAAATTCTGGAGGAACTTGTGTCGAAAGTGACCTCTGAAGGAGAGATTTCCAGCACTGTTTGAGATAGCTCAAAATAAAGATTGCTTGGTGGCAGAGGTTTCCTCTCATGACAGGACTGCAGGCAATTGGTGTCCCACTTTCAGATGAAATCTCAATGACTGGGAAATAGCTCAATGGATGGAGATGATGCAAGAAGTAAGTTCCATCAGGCCACACTTCTCTAGGCCAGATAGAAGAATTTGGTTGGGGGAAGCTCGGAGTTTTTACTGTTAATTCCTTTTACAATAGCCTAAGCAGTGAGAGAGGAGAGGTTCCCACAGGAGAGAGTTTGGAAAACAGTCGCGCCTCTTAAAGTAGCCTTCTTGTTATGGACAGCCACTTTCGGAAAATGCCTGACAGAAGATTTGCTTGCAAAAAAGGGGAACGATGGTGGAGCCAAGCAGATGCAGTCTGCTTGGGACAGCCTCAAAGGATGCAGAGCATTTATTCGTCCACTGCAAGTTTGCAAGAATGGTTTGGGAGAAAGCTTTTTCTGTTTTCCAAAAGATTTAAAATCTCTCTTTTGGTGCTGGCAGTTGAAGGGTCTGCCCAAGAAAGGGAAAATCTTGTGGGGAGTAATTCTGGCAGTAGTGAGCCAGTGATTTGGCCTTTTTGCTTATGGGGCAGAATTTACTCATGGGCAGAAGTTCACAGACGACTAAAGGATTTACCTTTCAACTCTTTTCTTGATAATAGAAATCTTTTTGTATGTAGATCTGCAGTGTAATCAGCTTCTCAGTGTTTTCCCCTGTACAAATTCTTTCTGAACAGGGCCTTGTATCATACATTATCTTTCTCAAAAAAAAAAAAAATCCCACCCAAAGTTAAGCTAAAAGTAAGGAAAATGAGTTCCTGTTTTACTCAATTGACCATGTTCTTTCAGTTCTCTCCATCAACTTAATGTTGATTTCCCAAAACACCATTGGCAACCATAAATGTTGTCAATATCCTTTTGAGTTTGTACATAATATGAGAAGGATGCAACATTCTAATCCCTTTCCATGCTATATATCGGGTTTATTCTCTAGTGTTGTATTTCTGTTTTTAGTTTTTTTATCTACTTTAGGTGCCACAGGGGCACTATTGCCTTTTTACCTATTTTATTGTACTGTCCTATTATAAATGGAATAGCTGGCGCTGCCAGCCTACCTTTTTGACTCTCAATGGGGGGTAGCCCATCCCCCAACCCATAACCCCCCCAACCCAAGTGCAGGCACCTTACCAACCAGTTGGTTGGCACCTTCATACCTTTTATTTTACTTTCAATTGATCTTCTCTCTTCTCCCTTCTCTTCTCCTCTTATTTCTTAATTCCAGTCAGCATAATACCTAGTATATTTACATGTCATCCATTATACTTTTTATATAACAGTGAAGTCAATGAATGCACTGTAAGTTACCTAAACCAAACATAGCTGACTTCTGGATGATCAACCAGCTAACTTTCGATCTCTTAGTATTTCTCAAAGCCTGGATATCTTCTTGCTTTCCTTTAAATTCCATAAACTCTCCAAGAAGGTTTTTATTGTTTTTAAGCTCTAACCTGCAATAGAAATTGGAAAAAACAAGTTCAACTTTCTCATCATAGAATAGAACTAATAACAAAGGAAGCCTAGTCCGTACATGAAATTGTAACAAAAAACAACATATATTAAATGGACATTTTCCTTTGCAGTCCCATAAAAGGATGTTTTCAAATAGATAAACCCAAACTTGTTAGTTCTTATTACCAATAACTTTTAGTAAGGAAAAAAAGTCATTGCTTATGGTAAGTGATATCATCAGGTTCAGTTGATCTCTGTGTGTAACCTCGTATAGACTTGTATTGGGGGGGGGACCTCCATTCCACTGCAGTCATTTTTATTGGATTATTGGCTTCAGTCATCATGTCTCCCCCCTATTGATCCAAATAGAATATAGGGATTGGACATACAGTCATCAAGTGAACTGACACAAAGGTGAAGACATGGGGAGGGGGGGAACAGAGGGGAGACCTCCATTCCACTGCAGTCACTATTATTGGATAATTGGCTTCAGTCATCATGTCTCCCCCCTAATGATCCAAATAGAATATAGGGAATTGGACATACAGTCATCAAGTGCCTACTATAGGACTTTCCAGATAGTTTGGAGGGGGGAACCTCCATTCCACTGCAGTCACTATTATAGGATTATTGGCTTCAGTCATCATGTCTCCCCCCTATTGATCCAAATAGAATCATTGATAGGTGTTTCGACTGCTGCTACAGTAGTCCGAACAGGAAGAGAAGAAGAAGAAGAAGAACAAGAAGAAGAGAAGAAGAAGAAGGGTCTGTCGAAAATCTGATGGTTCACCCATCCAGTCGACCCCCTTAATCTATATTAGATTCTAATAATGTTTACAAAGACAGAAATGCCCTTACTTAAGTGTGGGGCAGAGTAACTCTAATAACACTGCCACATAAGCAAGTTACTTAATAAATAGAAGAAGACTAAACTACCCCTATTCGGCACATCTTAACAATAGGGATTGGACATAGTCATCAAGTGCCTACTATTTAATATTAGGCAGAAAATGAGCCTCACTAACAAGTTAAAAGGAAAGAACTAACACAAAGGTGAAGACAATGGGGGGGGGAGGGGGGCAGAGAAAACCTACATTCATTAAAAAAAAAAGAACAGAGAAAACCTAACTGCAATATAGGACTTTCCAGATAGTTTGGACCTTGAAATGGACAAAATACAGGACCAAAAATAACAGAGACTTTTATTAAAAGATAATAATAGAAAAGGTACAAAAGGAGGGGTAAAAATTCCTAACCCTCCCAAGAAAGCAATTCAGATTACAATGTTGCCCAGAAGAAATTAACTCTTCCCACCCCTTGTTTGGCCAATGAATCTGCCAAGGAGTTGGCGCACCTCTTTATCCATTGAAACTTGACTTCCATATTTTGGGTGAGATGTCTAACTTTCTTTTTTTCATTCATAAACTTCCACAGACTAGAAGTATCCTTCATCAACAAATTTATAGCCAACTTAGAGTCACCTTCCACTATCAATTTTTTGATATTTAACTCTTGTGCTCTTTTTAACCCTTCCAAGACAGCCAATATTTCAGCTCTAAGAGAGTCCCCCCATCCAATAGAACCAGAATACAATGCAATAAGTCGACCTTCATCATCCCTGAAGGCTCCCCCTATACCCGACAAACCTGGATTTCCTTCACTACTACCATCAAAGTTTAGTTTAGTGAAACCTGAAACTAGAGGGGACCAAATTGGGTGGGATACATTCTTTCTTGGAGCTGACCAAGCCACTTCTTTCCACTTCCTGATGATGTCTCCTGAATAATTTTCAAAACTTTGCAAAGTTTTAACCCAATGGGTCACCCTTATAGAAATCAGTTCAATGATTACACCCTTATTTCTTTCTTTCCCATGAAAAGTCTGTTGATTCCTTTCCTCCCAGACTGTCCAACATACAGCTGCTCTTACACACCTTCACAGAATTTTCCCTCACTTCTTCAGCCCCCTAACAGTAGTAGAATGAAAGAGGCTTTGTACATTTGGGGGAGGGGTCCACCCGCCACCAAAAAGGGAGAAAAACCAACACCAGATTTCTGAAACAAATGGGCAAGAAACCAATAAGTGATAGCAAGTCTCACCATTCTTCTTACAAAGGATGCACCAGTGTGGGGATAAACACCAATTAGGCCTTTTTCTTTGAAGTAAGTCGCAAGTGTTACACTTTCCAAGGAAAACTTCCCAACAAAAAAC